ACCCGGTCACAGAGTGTGCGAAATGGGCCCTATTCATCTAAAACCACCTCCAATATCTTCCTACCCACAGAAGATTTGTACAATAAGACCATTAGTAAGGATGAGCTCATTAAAGCCCAACAATCTGATCCATCTTTGAATAAACTTCATCATGCAGCAGTTGAGGGTAAAGATTTTAACACCCTTCCGTGTTTTTATTATCAGGAAGGGGTTTTGATAAGGGCCTATAGACCCCCTGAGCTTACCCATCTAGACACGTGGTCTGAAATACATCAAGTGGTAATTCCCTCCTCAGTCAGACCAGCATTAATTGCCCTTGCCCATGATGGTATTTCAGGACATTTGGGAATCCTGAAAACATATAAAAAGCTCCTCCAACACTATTACTGGCCTGGACTTAGGAAGGATGTGTCAAAGTACCTAAAATCTTGTCATATTTGTCAAATGGTAGGAAAACCAAATGAAAGTATACCAGCAGCTCCCATTAAGCCCATCCCAGTATTTTCTACACCATTTGAAAAGATTGTTGTGGATTGTGTGGGCCCATTACCAAAGACTAAGAAGGGAAATCAATTCCTGCTCACAGTTATGAATACCAGTACACGTAATCCTGAGGCTTTTCCCCTTAAAAGCATCACTTCAAAAAATGTAATCAAACTTCTTTTGCACCTTTCCACTTCAGTGGGCATTCCTAAAGAGATCCAATCCGATCAGGGCACCAATTTTACAAGCAATCTTTTCAAACAGGTGATGAAAGACATAAGTGTGGACCATTGTACATCTTCGGCTTACCACCCACAATCCCAAGGTTGCTTGGAACGGTTCCATCAAACTTTCAAATCAATGCTAAAAAAATACTCTATAGAACACCAAAAGGAATGGGATGAAAGCATAGACTTGTTACTCTTTGCCATCAGAGAATGTCCCCAGGAGTCATTGGGTTTCTCCCCGTTCGAATTACTATATGGGAGACAAATTAGGGGACCCCTTAAAATAGTAAAGGAGCAGTGGTTTGACACTCCATCTATTAAGCCCGCAACAGTTTCCCAATACATTGACACTTTACGGGACAAATTAACTGATGTCCGAACCATTGCTCAGTCAAACTTAAAAAAAGTCCAAGACAAAATGGTGAAGTCCCAACCTAAATTAGTTGAAAGATCATTTTCTCCAGGTGACAAAGTGTTACTCTTTCTACCCATTCCAGGCTCTACCCTTAAAAGCAAGTTTACTGGTCCCTATATAGTTACTAATAAACTATCTCCCCTCAACTATATAGTCCATACTCCTGATCGCAGAAAAGATTCACAACTTGTTCACATTAATCTCATGAAACTTTACCATTCCAAGATAATCAACCACGCTGTGATGCTGGTTGTCACCTTATCTGCTATAATTCTGTAAATTACCCCATTGTCGCACTCCAAAAAGTCCACCAGGTCTTCTCTGATGTGTTCATTAGGTTCCACATACCTCAACACCATGCTGAGCTGCTCCTTGCAGGCAGAGTCAGTAACCTCATCAGTTATGATAGAGAAAAACTTTTTTTTTTACCTTCTGAAGGATATGGTCATATTTCTGTTCTCCACAAATGTGAATCAACTGGTTCTTGATATTCCAAGATGTGTACAGAGCATTCTTGGCAGCTGCTCCTAGATACATACCCAGAACCCTGTCTACAGCCTCCACACGGAAATCAAGGAGGGCCAGAACGTTGCCATGATTGTCAGTCTCACAGTAGCGATCAGCTCCTTCAGACTGGTGGTGAGTGTCTCTATACCCGTCGTGGCAGGACATGTCTGCCCCTTATTCATTCCTGAGCAGTTGCTTCAAGTATATAAGGGATTCATTCATCCTAACTTGGAATACTGCTTTCATATCTGGGGTGGCTCTTCTTCTGTCCAACTGTTAGATAGGGTGGAATCAAAGGCATTTCGTATTATTATCTCTCCTCCCTTAGTTGATAATCTTTCTTCTCTTTCTCTTGACTGCAATGTTGCTTCACTCTCTCTTTTTTACAGGTACTTTAACGGGCAATTTTCGGTGTACTTGACATCCGGTGTACCACTGGCAAGGCCGTGGGCTCGTAACACTCGCCTTGCCCGCGGTACCCACCGTTTCTCTGTGGATGTCGGTCACACTAGAATAATCCATTATAGTATATCCTTCTTTCCTCACAGCCAAACTGTGAAATGCTCTGCCTTCTTCTGTGTTTCCATACTCATACAGTCTGTCTCACTTCAAAAAGTTGGTTTTCCGGCATCTTCGTGGTGAAGATTAATATAATCTGTTTCTTTTCTATTTTTAATTTCTTTTCACTCATATTTTTTCACCCGCTAGGCCCCATTTTGGGTCGATGACCTGTGCCCGGGTGGGCTATTCCAGAGGTACTTGACGAGTTCGATTTGGCATTGTGTGAGTTAGAGGATGATTCTAAGAATCAGGTTGTTAGGTTAATCGAACTGGAGTTAGAGAGGGAAAAGTTGAAGGATAAAGAGACAGTAAGGAAATTTCAGCAGTGAGAGAGAGAGAAAGAGAGAGAATTTCAGTTAACATTTCTTGAATGAAAATCTCAGCTTAATTTGAATACTGAGGAAGGGGGGGAGGATGATCGAATAAATACTAAAAAAACTTTTGATAATACAATGCATGTGAAACTTGTACCTCATTTTCAAGAAACTGATCCTGAAAAAGTCCTCGCCGTGTGTACTCGTACCCAAGCCAGATGGGAGTTTACGCATGTGCACTGACTACAGGCGAGTTGATGCACTCACACGGGACGACTTCTTCCCGCTACCCCGAATCGACGACATCAATGACGCTGTTGGTGATGCCAGCTATGTCATCAAGCTTTTAAAAGGGTACCACCAAGTGCCCCTTTCAGAAAATGCCTTTGTCACTCCAGAAGGCTTGTATCAATATACTGCTATGCCTTTTGGTATGCGAAATGCCCCATCTACGTTCCAGAGGCTGATGACTGTCGTTACCACTGCCTTGCAGGGAGTGCGTGCCTATCTGGATGACCTGGTGATCTACTCGTCTTTGTGGAGTAAGCATCTGTCTTCATTATGGACTCTGTTTCAACATTTGCTTGATGTCAAACTCTCTGTAAACCTAGTTAAAAGTGAGTTTGAGCATGCTTGGATAATATTTCTCAGATATGAAGTACGTGGAGGAGCAGTAACACCTGTCATGGCCAAAGTGGAAGCCATTCACAACCTTCCCATCCCCACTAAATTTAGGGCTGTGCAACGTTTCTTGGGCATGGCTGGCTACTACCGACGTTTCTGTCCGAACTTTTGTCAAGTATCTGCCCGTCTGACTAACCTTGTCAGCCCAAAAGAAAAAAAATTATGTGGTCTACTGCCTGTCAGACTGCCTTTGTAAAGATACATTCCCTATTAGTGTCAGCACCAGTTCTTCAACCTCTAAATTTTGAGTGTCCCTTCATTTTACAAGTTGATGCTAGTGATGTTGGGTCTGGTGCTGTATTAGTGCAGGCAGATGATAGTGAAGTTTTGCATCCAATATGCTATATGCCTGAAAAGTTTAAACCTCATCAATGGAATTAATATATAGAGAGAGAAGCTTTGGCTCTTCTTATGGCACTGGAAAAGTTTAACATATACTCGTATCTTGGCAACACCAACCAGAAAATTGTAGTTTACAGTGATCATAATCCATTACAATTCGTGACTCATATGAAAGAAGGAGAATCAGAGACTTACTAGATGGGGTTTAACTCTGCAGCCATATAATATCGAGATCAGGCATATTAAAGGCAAATAAAACCTCATGGCAGATGATCTATCTTGTGCTCCAGACTGAAAATAAAACACAAGTATTTTATCTTAAGGTGGGAAGTGTTATGTGGCACTGAATATATATTGAATTTAGAGGTAACCTTACTGGTTCAGAGGTAATTACCCTGCTTGTTCAGTAGGTATGGCTATATTTTATATTACTTTATTCCTGTATGTAATAGTTGTTTAATATGTTACATTGTTGATTTATAATATACATGTGCTAAGTAAATCAGCCTATGTCGTGTATTAGTTAGGGAATATATGTATTAGCTAGGTAAAATAGTTTGATAATTGGCGACATGGTATCATCACTGTGTGGGTCACTGGTTCACTCGCTCCACAGGTGAACCAGGAGAAGCATATGGGCCTGGCTGGCGATCAAGTATGGGCCAAGTCTTGTACAGTTGGTTTGGATTCATGATATATGTGTAGGGATATAAGTAGTTTATTCTTTTTGTACTGGTCAAGTGTATAGTAAGGCTGAGTTTAGGGTTTAGGTTAATTTAGGCTGTGGTTGTTTGTATTTAAATCATTAGTATAGAGAGGTTAAAGGATAGACTGATAAATGGAACCTTATATAATAGTGCTGCTTTCCATGTTTCATAACACGGCACTCACCACGGTCATCATCAACACATGTCATTCAAGTGTAGTCGGACTGTTGTTGTGTTGTAGTTAAATACAAATTTATTGTGCCTGATTCATAATCGACAACAGCTTCATGAATGCCATGAGAGGTAACTATGGCTGAAGCAACTAACACGTATAGTAGGTTCTTCATATGACCTTTCTTGAACCGATATTGTTAGTTTATTATTTATTACCTACTGAACTAGCCCTAATGTCTATAGGCCTGATCATATATATTATTTTGGGCTTAAGTAACGAAACCCAATTGTTTTTTTCTCCTTTTATTTTGGAACTGTTGTTTGTACAATTCCCAAATTTATATCAACCGTAACTTTCACTATTTATGAGCATGAAGAGAAGGACGGAGGCTATGTAAATAGACCTTTTAATCACGTCCTTCTGATGTGAGAGTTTGAGCGGGACTGACTTCCTGGGTGCCGGCTTTCCCATGCTGACCCAATCAGTCACTCTGCACACCCCAAGGGAAGCTACCAATCACCTGAACAACATGATCACTCATAGCCAGTGGAAAGTTACAAGGGATGAATCAGTATATAAATCAAATGTAATTAACCCATTTATATAATCTTCCTGTTGATGAGACAGGGCTATTACAATACAATGGTGAATACATACAATGGTATACACTTGTGTATACATACAATGGTATACAGTCGTGTATACATAAATGGTATATACTCGTGTACACATACTATGGTCTTGTGTATACATATTATGGTATATACTCGTGTACAAGTGCTGTACTATGGTAAACACGTGTGTAAGCATATTATAATATATGAATAGTCGTTATATGAACCAAAAGTTTTTCTCTGTTGGTAATGTCACCTAGTGCTCTCAGACGAAGAAAACACACATCAAGCCACAACCTTATGTTACTGCAGTATCCTAAAAAAAAAATGAGTGTCACATGTCGACCGAGTGTTAGCTGGTTGAATGTCCGAGGAACTTGCAATTTTTTTTAAGAGAGTTTGTGCACTTATCATAAAAATACCGAAGGGTAGATAGAGATCAACAAATTCGTGTTGGTTGTCTGGTGGAGGAATCCTTTAAAAGGTGGGATGTAACTGCTGCCTAAATACTACTGTAAAGGGAAGTTTATGCCACCACTTTGCAACGCTGTACGAGTGTAAGAATTTATAATTTACTTGTCTAAATTGTGTAGTGAGTGGCTGGTTGTCGGAATACCCGAGGAAGATCTGGTTACAAACTGGTTCACTTGACGACACAGATGCTCACACAGGAACGTGAAGAAGGCCACTGAGAAACCTAGGGAGGACATTATAGGTGAGAGGTGCCTCATTAACGGAAGGTGTTCTGTAGTACATGACGTATAACCAAGTGATGAATTCTTCTTCTTCTTCTTCTTATTCTTCTTCTTATTATTATTATTGTTATTATTATTATTATTATTAATTTTATTATTATTATTATTATTATTATTATTATTATTATTATTATTATTATTATTATTATTATTATTATTATTATTATTATTATTATTATTATTATTATTATTATTATTATTATCATTATCATTATCATTATTATCATTATCATTATCATTATTATTATTATTATTATTATTATTATTATTATTATTATTATTATTATTATTATTATTATTATTATTATTATTATTATTATTATTATTATTATTATTATTACACCACCACGTCTCCCCTGCATATCACCGCTACTCACCTGCCCCCAACAAAAGCAGCGGCCCAGAGAAGGCCTCCAGGTTGAGAGGGGATATTCCATCTCCTCGGTCACTACTGGGTGGCCTTAGACACACAGAAGTGTTGGTGATCTCGTCTCCTAGCCATTTGTCGAACAACCCTCCCTCCTTTAGTTGATGGATTCTGCGGGGGGAGGGGTGGGTGGGTGAGGGAGGGAAGGTAGGAAGGACAGATTAGGTGGAAGGAGTGAGAAAGGAGGTTGGGTGGGTGGGATATGCTGTAATTATGTATTTTCACTAATTCGTAACTAAACTAAATTTACCCCATATTCATCGTATCTCGTAAATATAGAACAATAGCACTTAAATATTATTTTCAAAGGAAAAGAGAGAAAGAAATAGAAAAAGAGTGACCAATAGAATTATATATTTTTGGTCACCAGGCAAAAAAGTAAATAGACTGACAAACGAATGGACCGACAAACAGATAAATGATCAATAGACGAACGAACAGAAATAACAAAACCGAAGAGACTTACAGAAAAAAATAGAAATGTGGTCAGACATATGAAAGTAGAGAGAGAGAGAGAGAGAGAGAGAGAGAGAGAGAGAGAGAGAGACCTTTATTATTGCAATATATATCCAAACCAGACAGTCTTACGGTCTTACAATTCATTAGCACTGGTCAGGTAGGTAGAGTTAGTCTTGAAGGCCATTGTCAGAATACCACTGCTGTACACTTTCTCGCGGGAGGTGTACAGGTGGCACTTCCCTGTGGTGCTGTAATAAAGGTAAGTACTGCCATTAGGGACTTTCCTGTTGTGTTATAGGAGATGTAAATACTACAATGACATTTTATTGTTGTTCTGTAACAGATGTAATTACCACCATGGAACTTTCCTGTTATGCTATAATAGACGTAAATACCATATTATGACACTTTTTGGTTGTGATGTAATGAGGGTAAGTAGCCTCATGACACTTTCCATATTGTATATATATATATATATATATATATATATATATATATATATATATATATATATATATATATATATATATATATATATATATATAAAACAAAGAAGTATGTCTCTGTGTTTGTGTGTTTGTGTGTTTGTGTGTGTGTGTCCGCACGAGAATCTCGGAAACTACTTTACCGATCTGTAGTGATGATGGATGGTGTTATACGTAGTGATGATGGATGATGTCATATGTAGGGATGATGGATGGTGTTATATGTAGTGATGATCTATCTATATAAAACAAAGAAGTCTGTCAGTTTGTGTGTCCGCACGAAAATCTCGGAAACTACTTTACCGATCTATAGTGATGATGGATGGTGTTATATGTAGTGATGATGGGTGGTGTTATATGTGCACTAATGATGATGGATGGTGTTATATGTAGTGATGATGGTTGATGTTATATGTAGTGATGATGGATGTTGACTGACATAACAGAAGCTCTAATGGAAGGCCAGAAAGGACAAGATCGACATGATATTATAGCGAGAGTATTTCGTCAGAAAGTGATCAAACTCATGGACTTGCTTACAAAATCATCAATCTTTGTCCCTACACGGTGCTACATGTATTCCATTGAGTGGCAGAAACGAGGTCTACCACATGCCCATGTCTTGATCTGGCTGAAAGAGAAACTTCGACCGAACATGATTGACAACTGCATACGAGCAGAGTTTCCTGATCTAGAAGAAGATCCAGTTCTCTATGAGATAATCAAGAAGCAAATAATTCATGGGCCTGTGGATCATTCAACAGACACTCCCCATGCATGAAAGATGGACGTTGCACCAAAAACTTCCTAAAAGACCTGATAAAGGATACTCAGAGTGGAGAGATGGCTATCCTCAGTACAGGAGAAGAGCGCCAGGCGATGGAGGTTTTACAGCAGTGTTGCGACCTGGAACAGACAATGAAATAACAGTAGACAACAAATGGGTGGTCCCCTACAATCTTCTTTTGAGTAAAGCATTCAATGCGCACACTAATGTGGAGTTTTGCAATTCAGCCTAGTCCATCAAGTATGATTGCAAATACGTCAACAAAGGCTCTGACCAAGCGATCTTTGCATTGGAAAAGGATGGAAATCATGATGAGGTGACAAAGTTTCAGCAAGGCCGTTATATATGCAGCAATGAAGCCCTTTGGATAATTTTTAATTTTCCCATACACGAACGATGTCCAGCAGTAGTTCATCTGGCTGTTCACCTGGAAAATGGACAAAGAGTATACCTCACAGATGAGTCCTTCCAAAATCAAATGGCAAATCCTGCTGATACGACCCTCACTGCATTCTTCAAGCTTTCACAGGAAGATGACGTACCCAAGTTCTACATATGGCAGGCTTCAATGAAAAAGTTCCAGAGAAGAGCTCAAGGATCCGATGTTGAAGGATATCCAGGGATAAAGCCAGGCAATGCTTTGGGACGTGTCTACACGGGGAACACCAACAACTTTGAATGCTATTGTTTGAGACTACTTTTGCACCACATCCGTGGCCCAACATCATATGCAGCACTCAAGACAGTGCATGGACAAGTCTGTAGAACCTATCAGGAAGCGTGCAATCTCCTTGGCCTACTGGAAGATGATGGTCACTGGAATGACACATTAGAAGAGGCAGCAGCTACTCAATCGCCAATGAGAATGAGGAACCTGTTTGCCATCATGATTGCTACATGTGGACTTTACCAACCCAAGCCAGCTCTGGAAAAACCACCAAGAAAGTCTTTCAAAGGATCTGCTTCATCAAGCAAGAAGAGAACATCCTGCTCAAGAGATTGAGTTCATAGAAGACATGTTCAACAGGGCTCTGATCATGCTAGAAGACAAAGTGATGGAGCTATGCGGAAAAAACCTGACTAACTTTGCCTTCCCCAAACCGAGAAGAACCAGTAGTTGCAAACAGGGAGTTGCTCAGAGAGACAGACTACTCAGTTGAAGTTCTGGCGAATTTTCTTGAAGAAAATGAGCCTCACCTGGTGCCTGATCAAGCAAATGCTTATGAACAGATCTTGCAAGCGATACAAGCGGAGCTGGGAAGTATGATCTTTCTCGATGCACCTGGTGGGACAGGAAAAACATTCCTGATCAACCTTCTGTTGGCCAAAGTACGTCATCAGGGGAAAATTGCTTTTGATGTGGCATCCTCAGGCATTGCTGCAATACTACTAGAAGGAGGACTTACTGCACACTCAACTTTTGAACTGCCTCTCAACCTCGCTCACAATGAGAATCCAGTGTGCAACATCAAAACATGATTGGCAAAGGCAAAACTCTTTGAAAAATGCAGCCTCATAGTCTGGGATGAATGCACTATGTCTCACACGTCAGCGTTTGAAGCATTGGACAGGACCTTACAAGACATACGAGAAAATGACAAGCTCAAGGGTGGCATTACAATGGTCATTGCTGGAGACTTTCGCCAGACCCTACCTATCATTCCTTGAAGCACTTCAGCTGATGAACTGAATGCGTGCCTCAAGGCATCATACCTTTGGAGAAGTGTTCAGACACTCACCCTATCCACAAACATGAGAGTACATCTATAAGGAGATCAGGATGCTGGACTGTTTGCAAACCTGCTACTACAGATTGGGAATGGAACTTTCCCTGTTGATTCAAAAGGACAAATAATCATTTCTCAAGGATGTGGAAATGTTGTAAAGTCCTCAACTGAGCTCACTAACATGGTCTACCCAACCCGCAATTCTGGCACCAAAGAATGGAACAGTGGCTGAAATCAACATGACTCTACTCAGATAGCTTCCAGGCAGTGAGACCTCATTCAAATCTGTTGATAAAGTAATCGACCAGGACCAAGCAGTCCAGTACCCTGCAGAATTCCTTAATTCTTTGGAGCCCGCTGGAATGCCTCCTCACCACCTCACTCTCAAGATTGGAACTCCTATAATGCTGTTAAGAAATTTTGAACCACCAATCCTCTGCAATGGCACAAGACTGGTGGTGAAGAACATGATGCCACATGTACTGGAAGCTACAATACTGACAGGAAAAGCTAAAGGAGAGGACGTTTTTATACCAAGGATACCTCTTATCACCACTGACCTGCCATTTCAGTTCAAGCGACTTCAGTTTCCGGTTAAAGTGAGCTTTGCCATGACCATCTACAAAAGCCAGGGACAGTCCCTAAAGATGGTTGGCCTAAACCTGGTGTTTCCTTGCTTCTCTCATGGTCAGTTCTATGTTGGATGCTCCAGAGTGGGAACTGGCAAAAATCTGTATACTACTTGCTGCTAATGGCAAAACCAAAAATGTGGTCTACCTTAATGCACTACAGTGAGACAGTGTGGAGCCTCCCGGATGGTGGCGTCCTACCGTGGCCTTGCAAAAGAGTGGCGATCCCGCTAGTGTTATAATAAAATAAAATAAAATAAATAATAAACATGCTAATAAATTAACGAAGAGATAAATGAAAAAAGGCAAAAAACTGTTGAATAAAATAAATAAACTAAACAATATAAAATTTAAATAAAATGTCATTAGATTATAAATAAACCAGTGGTTCTCAACCTTGTTTGCCCCATGCACCCCTTTCACCATATGTTAGAATGTCATTCCCCCCTCCTTTCCAAGATTGTCTGCCTCAAAAAGTGCATTCCAAATAATATGCATATAATACTGAAAATCCTTTATTTTTTCCATAGTAGTATCAGTTTTCCCCTTCCCCTGAAAACCTGAGGGGGGAAATTCCCCCCGATTGAGAACCCCTGAAATAAACTATTCGATAACGGAACAAAAGAAAATTATAAATCAATTCGATGAACAGTTCACCTCAAATCCCAAAACATGATTTATTTTACGATCACATTATAAAAAACAATTTAATGACAAAATACATGGAACAAAGAAAACGAATCTATTGTTGAACCAAAATAATCCCAAATGAAAGAAAAGTAACAAACAAAACATTTATTTGATATATTATTTACTTCAATAAAACAGCTCACCTGAAGTCCCAAGACATGATCTTCTTCATGGAGGTTTTATCACAGATGGCAGCAAACTTTCCCTCGGCGATGTTCTGACGAGACCTCCAGCAGCTGACGAAGGTGCCAGCCTTACCTGAGTAGATCCTCCGCTTAACCTCGTCCTCGGACTCCTAAAGGTAGGGAGGAAAAGGAGGAGGAAGAGGAAAATTAGGAGCAAGAGAAGGGGGAAGAGGAGAAGGACGAGGATGATTAGGATGCGTAAGATGAAGAGGAGTAGGAGGAAACGGAAATCAAATTGTCAAGCTACGTCACGTTATTGTATCCAGGACTCACACTGCTTTATACTGTCTTACGTTAAGTCACCCTGCGTCATAATATCACACGTGTTACGGTGATAAGCTACTGAGATAAGTATTCTACATTAATCTCAATTCTATGATTCTACACAAAATATGTCAAAGATTTTGTCAAGTTATACCAGCGCTCCCCGGATTTGATAATTGCAGGTGAAACCCATGTAATATGCTATTTACGTTCAGGTACTGGTGCATCATAGTCCCCGCCTCAATCTTCCAGGGTAGGTCAGACTGGCCCAGAAGGTCAGCCAGGGAATCAATGGGAATATCTACGTGTGGCACCGTCAACATGGCCGTGAGGATGCCGCTGTAGGAGGACATGAACACTAAGGAGGCCAGGAGCCATGTGGTCACTATGAGGCGGCCTCCGTCCTTCTTGGGCAGCCACTCAGAGCCTGTGGAAAGAATGGAAGAGGGAAGCAGACAAAGAGAAAGAGAGAGAAGGAGAAACAGTGAGACTTCGATAAATGAATAAGGAATTATATACTAATTAAAATATCTACGAGCAGAAATCCCATGTTGTTTCGATATATAGATAAACAGATATATAGATAAACTGATAAATAAATTGCTAGACAGATAGGTAGATAAATAGATATTTATTCAAGAACATTGCAATACATTTTTACCTTGTTTCAGCATGTATATTGACAATGCAGAGAAGATTGAGGCTTTTCCCATGAATAGGAAAGTTACCCAAGTTCACTTTTTGACCCTGATGAAGACTATCCTTGTGGTTATGCTATGAATAGGGACAGCAAGACTGATTACTTAATCGCTTTAAAAGACCTTATGGGAGTGGCTTTGGAAGAACTAGATGAATTACCTGCTCAAATGATGGCAGTGCCATGATAGTTGACACGATGACACTTGTCCAACGATTTCAAGACATGGGTTATACAGGCTTCTCTCAGTTACATCAAAAGTATGTAGATAAGAACCTCAGCTAGATAAGATCATAATTGGGAAAAAGTATTACACCAGTCCGCCAAAGAGCTTTAATATGAAGAAAGGTACAGGGAGATCAAATGAACCAAATAAAATCTAGACCTACATACCACACCAAATGGAAGAACTTCACTGGAAAAAACTAAAAACATGCAACATCTTCTAAAGTACCTCTCTAAATCCTGATGATTGTGATATAGTGATAAATGGCCTTACATTTACTGCCCTAATGTTAACCAAGGAAAGTGCTTAAAAAATTCCATGCTTACTCAACTCCCATGAAAAAAATGACACCTTGATATATGTCCATGCAGCATACCTTGTCAAAGAACAAAACATCAATAGATTTGTTGTAATGGCAAATGATACCGACATAATTGTCATGGTCATTTATCACATTACCAGCATGCTCACTTTAAAGGAATTGTATATATATTTACCATGCCATAAAATTATTGCATACTTACTGAACAATATTCATTTTCAGATATGGATATAACTGCCATGGTTATCACTAATTACATACTCACAGGATGTGGCACTGTCAGTTACACGTTTACATTGATAAAACAGGTGCCTTTTGGCTATTGGATGCACTGATTACCTAGGTGGCCCCTTGGTAGAATATAACTTTGTTGGACACGATCTCAATATAAAGCCAGAGGTGTTCTATTTGCCTCAGAAATTTTCTTTTACATTATATGGCAGGAAAGATTTTTCTGGAAGCTTAGGTGAACTGAGGTGTCACTTGTTCATGTCGAGAAAGTCTGATATACGATCATTACCACCAACGGATAATGCATTTTATGTTCACCTTCTACGTGCGTTACATTAATTGCCTATAAGAAAACGAGCAATTGAGTTAAACCATTTGCTCCCTTATCCAACACAATTCGAAAGAACCATTGAGATCTGGCCCTTGTTAACAAAACAGATGACCAAAGCACCAAAGCCAAATACCATCATAACATCTTGCAACTGCCAAAAAGGACTATGTAAATCACACTGACCATGTAGATAAACAAATTGAAGGTGCGCTATTGCATGCATTGCTGCAGGGATCCCAATAAACGCGACTTCGCGTTAGTTATGGCCAATGGTGGTGAATGAATGTGAAAATACATCGTTTAATACTGTATACAATTAAAAGATAAGGCCAGAAACTTACAGATTGACTTAATTCAACACACATGCTACAAATAATTTGGTTATCTTCATTGGCTATCACACCCTTTCTAAGTGAAATGATACAAGTTCTAATGGCTGCTTCATTTGTATGATTGCCTTTCACTTTTAGCAGATGCAATAATTATACTGTGAAAGAAAAACAATTCTGAAAATGTATATATGTTTGTTATGTAGTAAACCAGAAGGGATAAATCTACCAATAAATGGGTTATGAGAGGTATTTTATACTTTCAGAGCATTATACTCTGTATTGCATCCTCAATTGGTGCACTTTACAGACAAAGAAAAGAAGAAAGAAATGTATTTAACAATTCCAAAAATTCCCATACTGTACCAGTCTTGTGATGTTCGTTTCCGAGACAAAAGGAGCTAACATATAACTGAAGAATATTTGTAAAATTTATTGATATAAAAACTTCCTATACAGGTAGTCTAAATTCTTTGTAAGTTCTGTTTTCATATCTCGTCTAGTTTATGAGTACTGGCTAATTCAATTCACTCAGATTTAATTTCCTTGGGAAATTGGTGACCTTTTGACCCCTGAGTCATCAGTGAAGTCGTCAAAACTTCCATGGCATTAACATGTAGCCTGACCCAAGCCCTTTCCAATAAAACCCAATGCATGAGGTTTTATTGAAAGTAACCACTTTAAAGAGGGGTTTTATTTTCCCTTATCCCTGATTTTTTGGCTTAAAGTTGTTTTCCTAATGCTTCAGTTTTCACTCCATATCATAAATTCATAATTTGATGTGAAGTCTTCTCTACTGGAATACTATAAGGAATGGATATTCCTGCTTCAAAATACATAAGAGAAAAGTATAAGTTTTTTGGCCACCTCCTCCAGGATTTTGGTCGTACTGTAAGAAAACAAACAAACATAGGAATACTCACTCTCTTGAGACAGTGTCTGCACCACCCACAGGGCGCTCTTGGACGCGTATGACTCCTTGGCAAGGAGGAAGATGTTGCTCTCAGCCCATGCCACACACGCCATAGTCACGCCTACGCACACAAGACTTAACACAATCAACAACCACACCTGTAGTGAAAGGGTGAAGAACTAGCGAAAGACAAAGGATTACGTGAAGATTAGGCACCCATACTAATTTTACCAATCTTGATCATCAAAGTAATGGGCGACTATGAAACAACATATCACGATAGAGATGTGGAAAATGATAGTGATGTTATTAGTGAAGAGCTTATAGGACATGGTGCGCGAGGTGGTGTAAGAAAAGAGATGGCGCAGGAGACGGTACATGAGGTGGAGCATAAGGTGGTGCATGAGAAGGTCATATGAGATAGTGCAACAGGCGGTGCAGGAGGTGGTGTAGGATATCGTGCAGCATGCAGCACAGGAGGTGGTGCAGGAGGTGATGTAGGAGGTGGTACAGCAGGTGGTGCAGGTGTTTGTGCTGGAGGTGACAAAGTAGGTTGGTAAAGAAGGCGATGCAGGAAGTGGTGCAAAAGGTGGCGCAGGAAGTGGTGCAGGAGGTGATGTAGGAGGTGGTGCAGAAGGTGAAAAAGGTGTTTGGTGCAGGAGGTGACAAAGTAGTAGTTGGTAAAGAAGGCAATGCAGGAAGTGGTGCAAAAGGTGGCGCAAGGGGTGGTGCGGGAGGTGGTGCAGGAAGTGCTGCAAGAGATGGCGCAGGAAGTATTGCAAAAGATGGTGCAGGAAGTGATGCGGGAGAAGGTCCAGGAGGTGCTCTAGAAGGTGGTACAGAAGGTGGAAAAGGAGCTTGGTGCAGGAGGTGACAAAGTAGGTTGGTAAGGAAGGCAAATGCAGGAAGTGGTGCAAATTATGGCGCAGTAGGTGGTGCAGGAGGTGGTGCAGGAGGTGGTGCAGAAGGTGATGCAGGAGGTGGCACAGCAGACGGTGAAGGAGGTGGTGTAGCATCCTGATGCTGCACAGAACAGGCAGAGGAGATTGTGTAGAAGGTGATGCATTCATTACGTTTATATACTGTAATTCGCCCACAGTATTAGTGTCTAGTAAATTCTTTCTAGTAAATACTGATACAAATGACGTCAGCCATGTAACCTGAATGTCTTTCAAAATAATGACCTTTGTGCATCACTGTCCAGCTAGGGTAGCATTTTCTTCGCCGGTTACACCATTAAACCCAGGTCTCTCCTACATACCACTATGCTAACCTTCATTGATCATAGTGTTAGTGAAGGTGATATCATAATTATGTTATATGTGCATAAACTATTTTTATAATAGAAAAATAAAAAAACTTAAACAATTTTGGTTTAAGACTTTCCCCCAAAACAAATATTTAATTATTTATATTTTACTACCAGTGCTGTACCTATAGGATCAAGTACTTACAATAAGATTTTAGCAGGTACATTCCCTCCAAAAATTATGTTAGCTATTGGTTCGATGTGATTCGAGGCTTTCTGAGCAATGTTATTCGACCTGCTTCTGAACTGTTGGTAGTTCTACATCTGCGACCTTTGAGCATGAATGAGTATATACGTTTGCGAACGATTTGAATCCTCCGAGGTCTCAGAACATATATTACATGACTCAGAGTGCCACTCATCAACGGGATTTTACATAGAATGGAGCGAGGAATTATCGGGGAGACATTGCATGATGTGAGAGGTGCTATCATTGCCCTTCATAACGAGGGTACACATAACTCTGAGAACTGGGGTGAGCAAATCCACGGTATCACTATGGGTTTAGGCGCCATGAAATAACTGGCGCCACACTAAAACTTATAATCAGATATCTACTATACTATAGGAATAGCGGTGTGTCTGTCTGTCTGTCTGTCTGTTCTGGGCAGCCGAAACGGCACAATCGTTTTTCATCAAACTCTGTGGAAAAATTGCACAAAATTCGTAGAGTGGAACAAACCTGGTCCCATGTCGATGGTTTCTTTAAGAAGGCATTAATTAACCTTTTTATTTATGATGGAAACCGATGCAAGTCTACGGACTTGGCGCTACCCTAATTAACCATGCAAGTATACGGATTTGGCACACCCTCATTCGCTGTACGCTGTCAGTCGGACGGTGGTTGCGTGCTAGCCAAGCACGAGCGTTCAAACTTTCACCGGGCACGAAGGGCCCATGATCACTTGTTTCTTACTATAGGTGGACGGAGGTTTCTGTTACCTGCAAGTCCCTTGATTTGAAACCTTTTTCGGTGTTAAGCCAATGCAATTTACATATGATTAACATAGCAGAACCCATGTAGACTAATATATTGTACAGTCTGCTGTAGCTGTTCACTCTAATATCAAAGTATTATTTGGTGAGTCACTCTTTATAAATCAGACATATAGTGAAAATAATGTATTGGCAGATTGTGAAACTCAGTATGAATGAAACTCCTTGAGTAGAGCAACGTATTGGTGAAATATCCGTTTTGAGGTCTGTCTCAGTCTCAGTTAAGATGTTCCAAAACACTCCCATTCAATGTATATATCGGTCAGTGGCTTGTTTACAAATGCCTTGCTTGTACCCAGCACGATACATCATTAATACAGCTTCATCCTTAATGGATTCCTAGTTATGTTGAAGTATCTATTATGCCATGCAAAGGAGGAAGAACCCCCCACCACCAATTCTACCCTCAACTCTACCTGTTGCTAATAAGGCGAGCAGGTGGGACACCTTATGAAAGTGCGCTGGGGATCATTTCAAAGCATTTCGTTTAGAGTTTCAAATGATAGCGACGGAAAATCTAACGATAATTTTTTGAGGACTGTAGATACATAAGGGTTGCAGCAGATCTTGAACCAATAAAACTATAAAACCAGTGTTTTGTGCTGACTGGAAGCAGTTGGTCAGCAGGGTTTATATTATAACTCTGTTTTGACATTACAAAGTACAAGTAAAACCTTTCTGTTTTTAAGTGATTTGTCAATTTATCACTTGCATGTGTGGCACCACTGTAACGGCACACAATACCTCCATTGGTGAACCCAGAGCAGCAAACGTCAACACCAATTATTTGATTACGTCAGGGAATTGCTGAGCTCCCATCGCCTCGCCCAAGCAACGAACAGTGGCAGGACCCAGTAAACCCCATGTGACCCAACGAGTGACCCAGTGAACCTGGGTTACATTCGATGGTAGTCATTAAAAAGCTTGATCAGCTTATCACATCTCAGCTGATCTGAGGTGTGTGTGTGTGCATTCTCCCGACAAACATTCTTGCAGCTGTGATGTCACTTACATATGTCATAGCCAGGCGCCATCTTGGATACGGTACTATAACGTTACCTCAAGAAGAAATGTGGCAATGAAAATCTACGGAATACAATACCAGAACCTCAAGAATTTTTCTTTCAAGACGACTGAGTTAGGTATTTCACACACCCTCATTAGCTTGTTACACATATTTAACACAATCAGCAACATATTGTCACATGTTAGGCATCGTATAGGTTAGTTTTTCACATACAAGAGCATTGTTTTGAATATTACTTACTGATTTTTTCGTTTCTTCAACTTCTTGGTTCACATATGGGTTGACAAAATGGTTATTGTGTATTTATTTATCTATTTTTTAATTTACCACATCATATATGGATGGATTACCTAAGTTAAGTGAACCAAAATTTAATAGTTGGTGGAGGATTTACCTACCTACAGTGAATGTGACAACTCGATAAATTTTTAAACAGCCTGCACCCATATCTGACATTAGTGGTGGTTATGGTGTATTTGAGGATGTGAGTGGAACACATACTGATTTATATGTAGACCCTTAAATTGCTCATGCTGAAAGATACATTTACACTGCAATATAGAAATTTAAACCCTTTCGGTATGGTCGTACTTATGATACTACACTTCTTCCCTGCCCCACGGTTCTTCCCAGTGTGTCAGTTCTTGCTACTTCACCTACTAAGCCACATACTAGACTCACGTTGCCAAAGGCACGTCAACAAAGACTTCTAATATATTCAAAATTTTACCACAACTGGATCCCATTGCCAAATTTACAAGGGCTGATCCACATTATCATGTAGTCAGTTTTTGCATGCATGTGAAAATGCTGTGCAAAATAATGGTATGAAAGAAAGCTGGCGATCGTAAAGCTTTTTGCTTTCTCACTTCAAGCAAGGTAGCTTATGCAAGTAAGTTGATGAATGCTACTAATGGTATGACGAGTAATGTGCTTGGATTTTCTTTTTATCATGGCTTACTTGGAGATGAAAATTTAATTTTTAAACGGACTGACAAAGTCTTATCTTTTGGTCGAACACAGAACATGTTCATTCGTCAATCCCAAGCGGGAGAGACATATGGCGACATCAAAGCGCAGTTTTTAAACTCAGATTGGGTTGAGTGATGGTAAAATGGCAGGGGAGCATGTAGCATGACTTTTCAAATTTGTGCATTTTATCTTCTTTTTTTTGCGGGACCCTGAGCACAGTCACGCAAAAATCATGGATTTTACCAAGAAAGACAAGGTTACAGCATATGCCTGTAAACTTGCACGTCCGGCTGAACATATACACATCACCTGAACCGTTACACCTGTCGCACCAACTCCGAAAAGAGTTTACAAAGAGTCTGGCACCAACCCTAAACCAAATTTTGTATGTAAACATTGCAAAAAGTTTGAACATACTATTGAATATTATTACAAGCTCCTGCAAGGTGGTAACAAAACCAAGCACCAGAAGACCTCCATAGTAAAACAAAGACTTCAACAAGACCCACCTCGGTCCTATGCAGCAGTTGCTAAGACAAAATCTGCTGCTAACCTGAAAGGTGATTTGTGGCATGAGTTTATGATTCTACCTCATATAGGACAAGAAACTGTATAGCTCTCCGCCAGTGTAAGGATGAGAGGTATGAAAGACAGCAGAAAAGGCGACCACGTCGTCGAGAGTATAAACAGTAGATGGAAGATCAGTACCATGCCAAATACAACATAGGATAGGTAGATGTAAGGGCGGAAACGATCTTCCTGCTCGCCTGCTCGTTACCGCTCTTACTCGATCTTTGCTGGCTCGACCCCCACTTGCGGGGTTGGGGGGTTGGACGGAGGTGAGAACGTCGCTG